GGACACTACGCCACATTGCGGACAAGCGCACCATCAAGATGGTATATTGTGCTTTGTGTCAGTCTTTGTTAGGATACTGCATCACCTCTTGGGGTGGGCGACAAAGGGCGATTTTGAAAACTGCGGCTGGACTACCTTTTCGATTCCCCACTAAAACCCTCTTTGAATAATGGGAAGTCCTGACGGTAAGGCAAATATTTATATAAAGTATCCTTCTTCAACAACACTCTGAACTTGAATATAAACCTGATGAATTAAAAGACAGACGCAGAAAGGACAATGTCTGCCAGATCAAGCTATTTAAAAAAGCACACTCTCAGAAATTCTTCTGTTTCCTAGGTCCATATTTGTACAATAAGATTAATAAAGCCATTAATATTTACCCTATGTGTAAGCATAATTTTAAAGAAGCTGTGTCAACGTGGCTCAAAGGATTGGACTTTGACACAACTGAAGCACTTATGTCTCAATATAAATAATAACATACTTTAAAAACAAAAACAATACTTACATTCATTAAAATTTCATGCTTTCACCTTTTGAACACCGTCATTCTCATTCACTCACACATAACAGCACAGACACACTCATACACGAACCTACCCACACACACACACATACATACACACACACTACACACGCACACACACACATACTCACACACGCACACACACACTTCACACCCATCCATTTATGTTTAAGATTTTAGTTCTTGTCTTTTAGTAGCAGTATAAATATTATTTACAAATAAGCTATATGCTAATGTTTGAATTCGATGAGCGGGGCCTGGTGACCTGTAACACAGGTATTCCTATACCTATTTCAGGTATCAGACTCTCACATCTTATGTAAGATTATTTCCACCTTATATTATAGCGTCACTTAATGTGTAAGTTGTGAAGAGTAATAAAACATTATATTATTATTATTATTAAAGGACATATGGGAAATCCGACTAGGGAAATCAACTTTTCGACTGAGACCAGTAAAGGAGCTTGGCTTTCCGCCGGGTTTAGGCAAGATTTCTACTCCGGGCGTAGACTAGAAAAAAATAAAATAATAAAAACTTTCTTTTGGTAACTTGAAATCCCACTACCCAAGATGACTGACCCTGCCCCCCCCCCCCCCCTCAATATTAAGTCTACATGAGTCTCACCCGTAGAGCTTGACTGTGCTGAGGGCGGTGGTGCAATTGTAGGGAGAGGATGGATACCAACGTCCGCTTCGTTGAAACGGAGCGCGCACACGCAGCATCTATAAAGGGGACAATCCTACAACAGTTTTCCCCTTCCCAGAGATATGATGAAAATGCTCCGGGCCTGTTAAGCTTGTTCACGAGCACGGTTTGCATGTGTTTACGTACTCTAAACCGCTGCTAGCGCCGGTGTTGCTAAAAACTGGATTGATAGATCTTGGCAAGAAAGATGATGTTTTTTACTATGGCGACGCTGCCCAAATGCATCGGGTTCTCATGGTATCTTACGTTTAAACAAATGTTTCGTTGACGTTTTATTGACGACTAATTCCTAAATATCTACTCATTGGTCTATTCATTAGTGCACAGGGGTGGGCGGCACATGCATATAAAGACGATCCTCCCCCCCGGTTACAAAATAACCCCCTGCCTCCGTTCCCCGACCCACGCTCTTGCGCAGGCTTTTTAACAACATTTATGAGACGTCTATGTCACCAAACATAAATAAATCTGAGTTAAAAAGTTTTCTAATCCACGCGACCATGATACGTTCTGGACCTTTAGCACGAACCAATATCGAATTCGAATAGTTTGCGAGTGCGAAATATCATTGTCAAATGAGTACTGATTTTTTGTTCTCGTTAGGTCCGTTATGTCGCTGTTGTTCGAGTTTCCATATAAAATTTGATATTGACATTTCGTAGCCTAGCCTGTTTGCTACGTTCTAGGTGCTAGACTTTGATGGCTGATTGTTATAAAACCTTCTTGTCTTTCACCAGGGATTCTCTGCAGACTGAGCTTAGGTCATTTTGGCGTTACGTAGGTAAGTGTTAGAAAAGGCATTTCATTAAACTTAAGTAGGTAAAGAATAAAAATTATTTCCTTATTTTCAGTGGTTTTGTTTTGCTGCTTTTATTTTTGGTAACAGAGTTTTTGTATTTTTTCACTTTATTTTAATTAAAATAAAACAATAGAGAGCATATAATTTTCACTGCTTTATTTATTTATGTCGATTAATACCACAGTTTGTAAAACTTAAAAACTAAATCTTAAAAGTAAGTACCTACATACTGGCTCAAATTGAAAACAGTAAAATCTGAACCTTATTCCATTATAATACGTTCATTTTTTTTGAAAATGTCGTTCACTAGAAAACGATCAACAAACAGCATATCGTTTTTACGTACTACATAACAATTCTCTTTATACATATAAAATATCGGTATTATCACATCATTCATTCAAAAATATACCTTAACTACGAATACTGAGAGTCACACATTCTGTTTGTGACAATTTGGAGAAGCAACTTGCCTCTTTACACATACAATAAAAGCACTGTTATGGACTCGCAATGCATTTGGCTATGAAATGTATAAATTATTTATTTGATAACTATTGTATGTCAAAGGGTTTTTTAAGTTCGTCTCCTATAACTAAATGTTTTTTATAGAGAGTAAAGATAGCCGTTGCAACCAGGCTGATCACAAATTTTCACATTTCAACGTAAATTATTTGCTTTATCACTACTATTCAATTTAGTAGTATTATAATGGGTACAAAGTTTGGGATAGCTAAAGCTACAGGCTTAGGTCTTTTTAACGACACTTTTTTTAAATTATGATTTTATAGCGCATTTAAAATTAGACCTATCGAAAAACCTTTTCATGGTTTGCATACATTTTCTCTCACGCCGAAGTGACAACAAAAACAATTGCAGATGTTAGCACACACATTTTATCATATGAATTTTCGTGTCCCAAGTATACAAATTTAGCCCCAAAAAGATCATTAATCATGTGAAATGAGAGCAGAACTTTATACACCGTTTAGAATTGCTTTTTAGATATTTTATTAACACTGTATCTTTGTATCTTTCTTGCAACGATATACTACATATTCTTAAGAAGGCCATTTTCGATTAGATATCGCGATTATTTTCATTACATACATGCAAAAGATATTAACTTATGTCAAAATTCCAGTTTTCTGAAGCTTTAAAATAGACCAGGGAAAGAGTAAAGGGCTGATTTTAAAAAAAATATGAAAAAAATGAAAATTCTTGAAGAAGATAGATATATGGAAATTCTGTTATGAAAATATGTAACTGTAGAGTACCCCTCGTACCATAGAGAATGCTAATAATGTTACAGAAGAGTATAAATTAACTGTATAATTTTACATTTTCTATAATTTGTTTTAAAGCACACTTTATGGACCTTACTTAGATACGGTATTACTCGATAGTTTTGCTCTAATGCCGCAATTACATTTGGTAGTTAGCCCGAATTCGGGTGCATGAAAGACATTTTTCGAATTCGGGCACCAGAAGCAATATTCATACTGGAATACGAGCTGGAAGATGTTGTCGGGTAAACAAAAGGAATTCTACCCGAATAAAGGCGAACTCGACTCCTTTCCTTTAGACTTCGTCGTTTACCCGAATTCCATTGGCACTTGTATTCGGGTTAGCGACCAAATGTAATCGCGCCGTAAAGCGAGTAAAAATCGACCCCTCTAGTTGTGAGTTTTTTTTTCAGTCCACACATAGATTTTTTCTCAATCGACACCCACATACAATATAATAAGTTATAACTAATAATATTAATATTGTATGTGGAGTACGGACAATTACAGTAAAATGCAGTCAGCGTACTTTGAAAGTGACTGCATATTAACGTAAATCTAACTGTATCTTTTAATCACTATCGCAGTCAAAACTAACCGGTTAACCAGAAATTAAGGTTGAAATATTCTTTTTCAAACCATAATCCTTCTGTATAGACCTAAAAAGACTATTTACCAAATCATTTGCTATTACGATGGGTATTTTTCATTCTAATTCCAAAATATTTTTGCATATTCATTTCACATTTTCAATAGCAAAAATATTTTCTTGGTTTACAATCAGAGGTAGATGCAAAGTAACAGGTCCAAATATTAATGTCGAACTCTAATACGGTCATATTATATTTAATTTGAATAAAATATTCATAATTCACTCTTTCTATATTAGTCGATTATTACAATATTACTGTTGATTCTGGGATGATTCTCTAAACTTCAAACTACATTTAACATCAGTCTCCCATTCATTCTATATAGAGAATGACAAGGATACGCTGTTATGAAATTTAAGTTTAGGTTTAGAGAACCATGCCAGAATCGATACCATTGTTATGACAATAAATTACATAATTTAGGCCTCATTATTAACTACGTAATTGCTTTATTGTACTCATGGTCTAAACTAATACTATGACTATAGGTAACTTTGTAACACTTGATTTCTGATTTACAATAAAAAAAGACGATTTGAATAGTTCAAATACTGTAAAAAACAATAATTGAGAAACTTTATAATCTCATATTTTGAATGAGTATATTGCATGATCTAAATAGTATTTAAACTGACAATATACTGAGTGATAACTATAAAAACAATAATGATGTTAGTTTTCAGAAACCTTGTAATACATAACTAAATTCAGCCTGCATCAGCATCTTTAATCATATCAGCGTTAGGTAGATTATTACTATAGAAGTTCCTCGCAGCTGAACATTTTATACACTACGATTATTTGTAGTTTACTAGGATAATTGCAATTTACAATTCGATATGCTATCTACTTCTAGAAAAAATCTACCCAAAAATACAAGGACTATTAAAATTTTATTAATATTGTTCTATCATTGTCTACATTTTATTGAAGGTTTAAGCCATGTTGTTTTTTAAAAAAACCTAATCAGAACCACGATTTATTTCAATTTAAAATAGAACAAGCTTAATTTTTAGTAAATGTTATTGGAATGTAAAAAAAGTAAGCAGCAATTATTAAAAACAAAAAAATATCAATAGCGAATATATAAAAACTCGAAATGATTTATTGTCCTCCTTCTCTAAAAGTGATGTCAAAGTTTAAAAGATAGCTATTGCAATAAATCACATTTTGGAATCATATCACAGTCTATGCTACTCTCGTACTCAGAGCTAGTACTCCTGTCATACTTGACCATTGGAGTGAGAGAGCGATATACCACTACTTAGTATACATGCATGATTTAACTTTGCTAACGACATTCATAAAAGACTTCCACATACAAAGATCTCCGAGTTTATGTTCAATCATAAGAATGTCATCCATGTAACATTGGCACCATATTCGTTAATACTTGCTACAAAATTTAATAACAATACTGACGGGTCATTATCATTTCATTTTCATTGAATATAGTTAAAACACGAAAAGAATTCATTACTTAAACTTTAAGTTACACACTTATATCGAGTAAAGCTAATTTGATAATAATTCATCTTTGAATCCATTATTTAAAATAATTTTCTGGGGTCTTCCAAAATAATTCATAATTTTGTGCAAAGCCACCAAAACGAACAATGTTAGCGCCGATGATGCTTTTTAGTAGTCTCACACTTAAAAGACCACTTCAGGGGAAAATCGCACCTAATTTTGATATATCATAATTCACTGGACGTTGTTACCGTACTCTAAACCAAACATGGACAGTATGACGAAGGCTAGACCTAAAAATACTGAACCGAGAAGATCTCCCAAGGCAGTCAGGTAAGGGATGGCCGCATTGTCAGGATCCTTCTTCTTTTTCCACATTAGGTGGATTAGCATGTATGCGAGGTATAAAAGTACCATTACCTGAAAAACGAAAAAAATTGCATTAGTTGTAATTTACTCTATTACGGAATTTAATCATGTATATGTAATCTATGTACACAATGATCTCGAAAGCTGCCGAACGGATTTTAATGCGCTTCCATAATAATGATTCCATTTCCAAACCATCCATCCGGATTTGTCCTGACACGTCCAAACTTTTACCATTGTACTTAAATTTGTCCGGTTTTTTGGAATCAAATGGAATATTAGTAATAAAACTACTACAGCTCGCCACACCATGCCGACCATACCACTGTAACTAAGTGAATAAGTTTCCACTTTGTGATTAAAAAGTCTGGTCTTTTATCGAAATGTCTGGCTTTTTTCAGGACTTTTGAAATTCCTAAATGGTAATCCTAAAATTTTGAATCAAGATATTATAATGACCCCCTTACAAAATTTACCTTACTTTGGATTTATAAATTGAGATTTCTGATCTGATTAAAGTCTACGTACCTGTAGAGTCGCACACATTACGTAAGTGATACCGAAGGCCGCCTGGATGGTGACGACGCCTTGATAGACGAAGTCAGCTACAGTCATGAAGATGATCTGCCCACAAATAGCCAGCACCAGCAACATACGAGCCACTTTAGCTGCAGCAGCTGTAAGAGGAATCATATTTTTAGTTCTACCATTATTCACTTGCCTGCAAAAAAGGGTCACCATGAAAACAACAATACCTTGTGGCTTATTTTATGAGTTCTTAAAATTTCTTTCATACACTTTTTAATTCAAATCTAGCTTATGTGGTTTTAAAGTTAATGGAGTTAAGTAGGTGACCCTTTATTTTTGCGGCCGACTGTTCTTTTTATGTTTTATTTTTGAAACTCATGAATTGTAGTATTTGCATGCATTTATAGTATCTTGGATATTGTTATTTTATTTAAAATATGTTGTTATTCTGTTTGGTTTTAAATTATTTTGAGATTTGGGAGATAGCAAGAAGAAATGTCTCAAAAATCAATAGTTGCTTAGTTCCTATACACTAGTATATTATACAATATGTCCAAATTAATTTACTTATTTTCTAATACTACATATTCATCTAAGTTGTTAAAGATTAAGCTAATACTGAAGCGTATAATATAAAATATTGTATAAGACATATATCTTTCTTTGTAATAAAGTATTTGCAATTATATCAAAATTAATCTATTTGAGTGCAAACGCTAAATCTAATCAAATACGTAAGTATATTATTTTAATCATTAGCGTTAAACTATAATTATTGAAAGTGAATGCACTTCTGAGATATCAAACAAAGACAACATTGTTGGTTATCTGAAACTTAGGAATGCACTTTACAGTTAAGGAAAATACACAATGGCAAGTCCAAACAATAAACAAAGGTTAATGACGGCAGATGTTTATGCACTGTACATCAATATTAATTAGGATTTATAATGTTTACCCCTAAATAGCATTACTCAAAGAAGTACAAAAAATCATAAAAATATTTTTGATTGTGATACAAAAATTTAGGTAAACTAGGATGAGAAGTTAACAATAACACTGGTTAACCAACTGGAATTAATTTTGATAAATGAGTAAATTTAAAAAAAAATATAACTGAGTGATACATTAATATGCTTATATAGTAAAATTATGTTTAAATAGAACCACTAAGCACTTACTTCCGAAGAAGAGAGTTTTCCACGGCCACTCCAGGATCCTCGTGTTTTCTGGTAGTTCCCCAGGGATCGCCGTCTGATGGAGATGAGTGGCCAGTCTCGAAGACTGCACGCACACCAGGTTACCACCGATGCCATTGACGATAGGCTGGAATACTTCGTACCCTCGGAAGCGGTCCACGGCTTGATCCAAGACGATTCCTCCAATTCTGTCGATCAAGAGATGTTATTTTAAGATATTTCATTTAAGAATGTGACAATTTGTCTTTGAAAGTACATTGCAAGGAAAACAAAGATCATTCATCATCACAAGCATCAAGGAATTGATTGTTTAAGAGCAAGGTGTTCTAGTTTTGGAAATTGGTTTGGAAAATTAAACGTTGGGAGAATTATCCTCATTGCGATATCATGAAAAATGCTGTATCGTATAGCCTAAATCAACAAAATTGTAGACTTTTGACAATGAAATTAACATTCTTTAGAATTATCTATCAAGCATTTTATATTATCTGCGTTACTTAGTACGTAACGTAGATAATATAAAATGATTGATGTACTAATCAATACATCAATCATTTTAGTTAAATGTATGATAGGGAATATGTATAAATTAAAGTAGGTATATATTCGTCATATTGTAACTGCTGCATTTTTAAATGCGTTAAGAACTGAAACAGTAGATTCCGTTAGTAAACAAAAGACGACTCACGGAACAACTTTTTATTCTGAAAAAATCGCCGAGAAATCTATTAAGGAGTTCTTGGCTTGTATTTATTGTTTTTAGGACTGTATTACCAATGAAATTAATGTATCATTGAAATTACCTATATGAAAATAACCATTATGATTTCGTTAGATTTAATGCATCTAAATAAAATCGCAGTTGCTAACTCGTAGTTATAGACAGTGTATATTAGTGTTAAAAAATGCCAAGGGTAAAAAATAATAAATTTTGCCTTTAATAGTCATATAAAAATGGATTTGCGTAAGAAAATTAGTATTAAAATATCGTAATAAGTTTTGCATAACAAGAGGCTGAATATGATTGCATTTGAGGTTCGTCGTACGTGTTGTACGTGACTATGGAATAGAGTTCAATGTTATAGTTATATTATACTTGTGGTAAAAAAAGTTATAATAATAAGTAGGTAATAATAACCCTACGGAATAGGATTATTAATAATTTAAAAATTAAATATGATAATTTTTGTCATGTTCCTAGTAAAGGCTTTATTAAGCAACATAAATACTTAAAAAAACATTATTTATTTCTATTTTTTTTAATTCTTTCTAAATTCAAAACTTATAATCAACTTTCCATGATATGTTTTTTCGTTATTTGTCAAGTGGAAGGACAGAATTAGCTAGATGATCCATCCACCATGATTCACCTATGTAGTTAGGGGGGGGGGGGGACCTTAGCTAGATGATCCATCCATCATGATTCACCTATGTAGTTAGAGGGTTGGAGGGGGGACCCCAGTAAGGTTATCTACAAATAACCCGCTACTTTCATTCGGTCCAAGTATTGAAAACCTTATGGCAAAATACATTTATTCCGTTATTGTTAAAATGTATTTACATTAAACATGTGGTGTGCGGTGTTTCACTTAATTACTTGTCACGTTTAACTATTACAGCATTTGTAAGGAAACAATGACTATAATAGAACTTCTTAAGACTTCATAAAGTAAACATTCCGAGTCTTAGTATTAAACCAATCCGTTTCTATAATCAATAGAATAATATAACATTGGAATTGCAAATTTTCATACTCTTGTTTTGTAACTATACTTAGCTATTTTATACATACGATGGATTATATATCTATATATCTTCACGCAGTGTCAGTGCCGTCTTTGATCTATTGGAGGCCCTGGGCATATTAGGACCCTATGACCCCCGTTTGGTGATTTAACAGGAACTAGGGACTTTGTATTTGATCTGAGGGGGCCCCTTACGATCGCGGGACCCTGGGCACTTGCCCAAAGTGCCCACTGGGAAAGACGGGTCTGCGCAGTGTAACGAGTGGGGTAGGCATAGATTATAGAAAGCTATAAGGTGGTCCATACAAACATATTTCGCTTCATTCAGATTGATTACTCATTTCATACACGCCCGCCGGATTTTGCGGCGTCTAGCATCACCTACCTTCAGAATACGATCAATTCCTCTTTTTACCGAGAACATAAGTAGCCACTGATGGCGCAGGTGGTTAGCGCATTCGGTCTGTCATCGTGAAAGTCAAGCAAATTGACCAAAAACTTAATATCTCGAGCTCTTCCGTGTTTCGAGAGGCATATCAAGGCGCTGGTCCCAGCTGCATCTGCAGTCGTCGCCATCCCGACGCAATCTTCCTATTTCGTTCATAGGGAAGGATTGTGGAATTAAAAAAGGCTAATGATGATTAATTAACCACTCACCCACTGATGAAGAGAGCTGAAATGACAGGAGTCCAGCCCGTGGTGAGCACTTTCTTAGTGTACTTGTTCCTCCAGACTACAATCACCCAGAGCGGCAGTAGGCTGTAGTATACGCATATGAGCGTTATAGGTTGCCAAAGGGATGTTCCTATAAAAAAAAACCAAGATATTAATAATAACAATAATAATAAATATTCTTTATTGCACACAACAAAGGACACATGACATAAACATGATGGCTAAACAGCAATCTCTTCCAGGCAACCTATGGTGGAAGAGGAATAATAATATAGATAAATATAGGAGGGTGCAAACGAAAATACAGGAGATATCTTTACATAAATATTTAAGAGAAGAAGCAAAGAAATGTAATTTAACAATATAATAAACAATATAATCGATTTTAATCGATATATTTTATTTTATTTGACTTAATTTTTATTTGCTTTTGATTTTATTTTATATGATTGATAATTGGTTTATGATGTTATTTAAATGAATTGTAATTATTTATTTATGTAGGTAAGTAGGTTAAGCTATGTAGTTTTTAAGTTTGTGTTATTTTAATGTATAAATAATCTTCGTATAAATAAATAAATAAATAATACATTTGAAAATTATATTTATTATTTTTATTATTGTGATTGTAATTATTTAATTTGATTCTAATTTTTTTTCTATTTCAGTATGTAATATGGGTAAGTACTACGTCTGAAATAAATGGTTATTATTATTATTATAATGTAATAATAATGATAGATTACGGACAAATCACAAGAATAATTTTGCTCACAATTCCCGCATAGTTATATTTTGCATACTCGTAAATGTATATTTAATAAGAATAAACAACTATGACCTGGGAACAATTATTTGTGCTTATCACATAAATAAATTATGTAACTGACCTTTCATTATGTATTTTATAATAATTATGAAACTAAACATACATATTTGTTACAATATCTAGTATTTTGCTTATGACACTATGTAGACAGTAATTATTGCTATATTTAGATAAAGATTTGAACAATATGCGCAATAATTATAATTGTGAAATGTAATAAAATGTAAATAAGTAAGTAACAGTCGTTAGCACCCGCCAATCCGCACTGGGCCCGCGTGGTGGGTCATGGCCCAATCTCCCTATTCCATTCATAGGGAAGGCCTGTGACCTAGCAGTGGGGACATTAATAGGCTGATGATGATGATGATGAAGTAAGTAAATCTACTTAATATGCACACATCAAAAACAGTTTGCGATCACTTTGAAAATAGATTGTTTTTTGTGTTACAAAAGACTTTTTTGTAATTTCTTTTTCTGATAAGATTTTAAATTTTAAAATTAGAATTAGAACGTAAGCAATAAAATAATTCAATTGTTTTTCCATATAAAAAAACAATCCAAGCTGACACTCGTCCAGAAATCTGACTTGGTCAATATTATCGAATTTAAAAATATTTTTTCTCGGAAAACTGTGATTTAAAAAATGCCACGAGGATTATCAGATGTTTTACGAGCCATTATTGTAACTTTAAGGGAAGAAGGCTATTCTACGAGAGAAATAGCACGCAGAGTTGCCATATCCGATCCTCTGTAGAAACCACGTTGCAGAAGTACCACGGCATGGGTAATTTAGCTGATCGACCTCGCAGCGGTCGCCCAACTGTTTTGACAGCTGCTCAAAAGCGCTACATCAGGTTGCTGGTAGACCGTGACCCAACAATAAACGCCACTAAATTAAAAGCAGAAATATGGACCGCCTCCGGACTTGCTCCGGACTTAGATCATTCGGAATAGCTTACACAAGGCTGGATTACGAGCATGGAGTATGAAGCAACTTTGAATTCACAGGAACGTCAGCGACGGAGATTACAGTGGGCTAGGCTCCGGCAAAACGAAGAAGACAAAGAGGAAAACATTTGCCAAAACTGCCTCTACGTTGACGAATCACGAATCAGTATTCATCCGACCGACATGTCCGTATTGAAAGAAAAGTTGGGAGACTCTGTTTTCAGAGTCCAGTGACTTCTGTTTCCAGTGGCCGTTCTTTGCTGTTGCAAAGCGAATAGAGCACGCGTGGGATGCTCTTATGCGATTGGAACCGGCAGCCATCACACCAGACAGTGCAGCAGCTCAGGGAAGCTGCAGTTCAAGAATTGGACAGGTTACGACAAGAAATGCTGGATGAGTTGATTCTCAGCATGCCCAGGAGGATCTCCGCATGTGTTCGAGCCAGAGGAGGAGTTATTTTGTATAAGATAAACAACAATTTATTAAGAAAAGGTTTTTAAGTTAGGTTAAACTATCTTTTTATTTTTATCAAAGTTCTTTTATAATCGCCTTAAGATTGAATTATGAAATTTTTTGTACTAAAAAATAGATTAGTTATATTTTTTAATTTCAGAAAGTGTATTTTTAAATAAAAAATGATATAACGTAAACATTTTCTCTTAGTTAAATTTTGAAAATATATCAGCTTTTGCAAGTGATCTCAAACTTTTTTTAATGTGTGTAGGTAAATATGAAAGCAGCTCTTATATTATGTCTGTTACGTTCACATGTCACACCGCTTCTTCGACTTTGAGAAAAGTTTGTAAGTTGATATGAGAGACATTAAAGAAGAAGGACAATTTCCTGTCGCTAAAATAAAAGTCACTATACTCCCAGAAAAGAATTATGTTCCAAGAAAGATCACATTGGTCCACGAGGAAACTTTTTTTTATACGTGTCGCTTCAAATTACCGCACCCCACCTGATGTTAAGTGTTAGTGGAGTGCAGTGATAATCCAAGATATGAGGCAGAACCTTCACCTTTTCTTCAGAGGACCACGCGCACTGGCCTTCGTTGCCACTGACTTACTGTGGCAACTATTCCTACACGAACAAGAAATTTGGTGCCTCATTTCTTTGTCGTACTATTCGTAAGTGGTTTTCATTGCCCACGCACGTGTTCTCTCCTTCCTACAATCTGGGGTCCTTTAAGAGAGGCGTGAAGAAGCATTTTTGCAGGCCGGCAAGGTGACGATGATTGGTGTAGCAGATTATTACTGCTGTACCAGTTATCTTCGTGTTTGGACTTTATCACCACTTAACATCAGGTGGGGTAGAGTCATTTGCCTACCTCGCTATAAAAAGAAAAAAAATAAGTTTGCCGCTCCAGGCATTCTCTCACCTTGCCAGCCTGAAACCAATCCACTTCCCCGCGGAGCCCTGAAACCCTACTCACCAGCAAATACACAACACGATCTTCTGTAAGGTGGAAGTTAGTTCCCCAGACGAGCGCTCTAAATTGAGCGACCAATCTAGCCTAACCTCTCTTAAAAACTCTACTTTTATCCTTTTTGAAGTGAAAAAACTTCTTTAGCGGCGTTGTACACTTTTTTTGTATGGGTAAAAAATGTTAAACTCGCGTCAGGTTAAACACGTGGGCTGATCGCATCAAAACACACCATAAAATTGGAATGGTTGTTGACTTTCAATATATTGGACGAAACATAGTATAATATTTTATTTTATCGTATTATAATAATACTCGTAAGTCTCTATCTAGGAGATCCACGTGGCAGCTTTATTGCGAAGAAAATGCATTTTTTTACAATAGATGTCGCTAGGTGCGCTTAAATATGATTCATGTAAGTTGATTTCTTTACAATAGATGTCTCTAAGTGCGCTTAAAAGTAATTCATGTCAGTTGATTTTTCTGAATGATAATCTTTTTTAATGCAATATAAATTATCATGTTTGTGTACGATAGCGCAATAAATAAATATTGTATTCTACCACATACATAATAGTACTTTTATACTGATAATTAAAGCAAATCGTGCAAAATTATTCCCTTACCATTCCAAAATATCAAAAATGCACAACGTTAATATTCAAGTTTTCACTTCTGCCGGCACTCCCGGAGTGCAACTCGTCGTTTTTTTGGAGTGTGTATGCTGTTGGTTGCAGATGACCTTTACAGCGTCACCGGGTTTGGGGACAGCGAGATCCTAAAGGGACCTCAAGCCGAGAATTGGCGTGCGCCTCTAGAGGTATTCCAGACGGATGGCATCTCCCCACGGGGGGAGTCTCCTCTCCGTCTGGAGCCTCTTTTATCCCTATTTAAGTTTACCTAGGGATTTTTGAATTCCAAACGGTCTCAAGTAAATGTGAGTGGGAAAATGAATAAATCATTGGAGCAATAAATTGTTCCGATTCCAAGATAAAACACTCGTGTAATGGTAATCACAAATAAACGATGCGGTACCATAAACACCCACACTCGATTCCCGGGACATCGGGAAGTCTCACAGCAACGAAGGTCGCCAATAAATAAGCCATTAATTACGTTGAATCGCATTTCTAAATATAGTCAAGATTGTTGTTCAAAACAGATCTTAGATAAATCAGGAAAATTAAAATTTACCACAGCAATGTTAATGAATCTACTACGTTTCTCTTTGTAATTTTAAGTAAGTAATTATTGTTGTCTATATACTTAATATATTGATTTGTATCTCTCTGACGTTGGTGCCAAAAATAGTAATTTTTAAGCGATTACTTTATTATCAGGTGCTATTATGAGTTTGCAATCCGAGCCATCTAAATCGTATGATTTTGTTATTTTAGTGTTATTGATATTACTTAATTACATATTAATTAAATGAAATAATGTATTTAATTTAAATAAAACCGGCCAACAAGATTCTGTTTCACCGTAAAAGATTGAACACAGTGCACTTTCAGTCCTTTCCATATTTATTTAGTAGTGGGAGCTAAAGCGGCGATATTGGGGTTTTCTCGCTGCTGTGTACAGTACCCTTAGTACTAACCAATATCGAATTCGAATAGTTTGCGAGTGCGAAATGTCAATGTCAAATTTTGTATGGAATCTTGAACAGCAGCGCCGCAAAGTACGTAACGAGAACTAAATATCAGTACACATCTGACAGTGACATTTAGCACTAGCAAACTATCTGAATTCGATATTGATTCGTGCTAAGGATATAGTACCCCTAGCACGAACCATTATCGAATTCGAATAGTTTGCAAACCGAAATGTCACTGTCAAACTTTGTATGGAAACTTGCACAGCAACGGCACAAAGTACGTAACGAGAACTAAAAATCATCAATCATTTGACAATGACATTTCGGACTCGCAAACGATACGAATTCGATATCGGTTCGTGCTAAGGGTTACTGGTCTAGACTGTCATTTACGCGTATAACTACATGAATGTCATTAAAGGTTAATGATATTATCATAATTTTATTATAATCATTCAATTATATCGACATTAATATCCATTTCCATAATCCATTTATCGCATTTGAAACAAAAGGGATAAACGCAATACTTTATTTGGCAAACTGTTTCCATGTGGACTTTGTGATATAGAAAAACAAAAAAAAAAGATAGTATACTAGTTCCTACTAATATTAAGAATGTGAAATTTAGTAAGATTGTGTGTTTGTGTATTAGTTTGTTTGTTACTCAATCACGCAAAAACTACTGAACGGATTTGGATGAAATTTGGTACGCATGTAGATGATGACCTTTCGATCTCGAATAAATGTTATGTTCTTGTAGGATTCTCGGATTCTCACAAAACTTAAGTTAACGCGGACGAAGTGGCTGGCGGTCGCTAGTATATATATATATATATTGTTGTAGTGATGCGCGTTTTATTGATTCCACACAATTATTGTCCACTCGTGTGGACCCCTGAAACATATTACGTTTAAGCAAACAACGTTAATAAAAACAGTATAATCTCGATTCATTCAGATTGACTTTACGGAGATAGTGAAAATATGTTCCAGGATACCTACTTTGAAATGTTTTGCGTCCAATTTACAATTAATTATAAACTCCATTAAAAAAGAGATCCAATTTTCCTAGGAATATGGGATTGTTTAACGGGAAGTGACGTCATGATGGTTAGCTAAGTGTCGTCATTCTAAATCCAATATGGCGGACGACCCACGATTGTGGACTTGTTATTATTGTTCATGCACTAGCCCATGATATGGGTACCAAATAAAGGAGATTTTGAGAAGAAGACGCATAAACTAAGTCTGTTGTTAATTAGCATAGATATACAATAAAATCTTGGATTTAAAATATAAATTAATGCCAACTTCCGAAAGCTATTAGCAATCCGACAACAGAGTCATATCAATGAGTAAGACAGCTATTGCTCACATTAAAATAATGTCACATTTACGTGCTCGCAACAAATAACTCTTATGTTTTATTGCAATTTCAAGATAAGGGCCTATTGTTGTCTTCTCAATATTTCTGTCGACATTAATCTAATAATTATGTGTAATAAAATTGAATCTGTCAATCATTTATCTGTTAAAATTACAGGAAGGAAAATTATGGAAAAATTTAGCGTTTCCTCAAGTTTTTTTTAAGAAATATGATAATGCCGTGAATACAACACAGCTACTTCAAATTACGAATTTGGTACTAAGCACTAATATGATTACAAAAGTTTGTTACAACTTTATTAAAGTGTATTGTTTTACAAGTTAAAATCGTACTCGGCGCAGGTTGGATTCAAACTAAATTTCATTTTAGAAAAAATATTTTATTTTAGAAAAAAACTTTTTTTTTAGAAAAAATATCTAAAAGCTGACGCGGACGATGTAGCAGGCGACTGCCAGTAAGCAATAAAAACGCCACCACTGGCCGTCAATGTCAAATCGTTGCTATGAACATTTGCTCGATTAAACTTTAAAGTATTCTCCCTATTAAGGAAACCACCCCAATTATTTTTATATTAAGGTCTGTGAAATCATAATTGTCTAAGCAAAACATAGTTACAAGGAATCGTCGGTAATAGTTACCGTGCTTGTTTAATCACCGATTGTGAAAAAGAAAAACTTTCTCTATGGTCAGTCATCGGATGGGTGACCAACAATTCTATTACTTTTAGCTCTTTCCTCATTCTTGCTTCAGAAGACACATAATTCGTTCTTTCCGGATGCATCTTAAGTATCCACCAAGCCTTACTGTGCTTACTTTGGGGTTAAGCTAACAGGGATTACGGACAGGGTGTAAGAAAACTTACACCTATTTTTTTTATCAATCAACTAAAAATTACAAAAAAAAGCGCATAAAAGTTTAGAAGCGGAATTTAGTGACGTCAATTCAAAAATTAAAATTGTAGCACGACGACGTCATGCGACATTTCAAATCAATATATCTCTGTAATGTTTTGAATATTGTAAGTAATGGAAAACATACGTGTCCGCTAATGTTTGATAATCTACCTGGTCTAATAAACGAAGAAAAAAAGTTAGTCATCATCCCTATTCCGTTACCTCATATTGAAGTAATTTTTTAATTTGATGACTCTGTATATAATACAGGGAGAAAAAAACAGCCCTTGCTGAGTTTCTTGCCGGTTCTTCTCAGTACAAGGTAGTTCACAAGTGCTTCACAGCCTAGACTGAATAAGCGATATTGAATTTTGTTTTTTTTTTATTTTTTATTGGTGAGGGTTAGAAATATAAATTTACTTCTAAGGATACTTACTTATCTGTTCGTACATATACTGAGCTGTGACAGCAAGCACCGAGTTGCTGACGATGTCGCCGATGGAGGCGGCAAGGGGCGTCGCCACGTTGTCAGGGTTTAGCTTGAACTTATGTGACCAGTATATCACCATTACCATCACGAAGTCTGCGAAAGGAGTATACACCAGTTAGGGTTTTTTTTTGTTATAATAACTCGTATTTCTTTTGTTTTCAAGCATTTAAAAAAGAAATCTCACACTCTATTTAAACAGGTATAAGCTCAATGCGATTGCATTTCTCCTGTAATTTTTTCGAAAAAGCAACTTTCCAATGACTTAAACAAAAAATATCTTCTCCGTGCTTCGGAAGGCATGTTAATTCTTCGGAGCACCTGCAGTCGTCAGCAGCCACACGTGCGCATTGGGTGTGCATGGTCGCTCATGAAAAATTCAATGATCATGGCTATTTTGAATTTAGCAGCGAATGCAACTTTAAGAAAGGTCTGGCCATTACGCGCCCATTCCGCGACGCACCCAGCCCGTACGCACCCACAGTCAAAATTTTGTTATTCTGCTACGCCCCCGGCCAGGACGCACCCGTAATAAAATACAGGAATAATTTGACAGGAAACTACTACTAAAACGAAACGAAAGAAGTTTTTGAATTAAAGTGAATGAAAGTTTGAGAAAATTATTAATAATCCCCCGCGCGCCTACATCAGTCTACATTTTGTTTACTACGCAGACTTACGCTAACAGTTTTCAGTTCGGTGACATCTCGCACTTGCCTACATCATCTCACATTTCGTTTACTGCGACGCGACTTTCGTTTACTGCGAAGTTTGAATCTCATTATACCAGTATACTGACTTACGAGACATTAATAGGCTGGTGATAATGATGATGATGATGATATTTTCTCTGTCTAATCGTTCCCCCATTACTGAGGATCTTGATCATTTGATCCTGGCAGACTATGATTTCTCGCCACCTGTCACTGCCCGTGGTTGCTAGAGAAGGTTGCTCTTAAATACATTACGATTCTCATGTGAAAGTAGTACAGTGATTTTCCGTTGCCTTCTGCACCAGTCTTTTTAAGATTACTTAGACCCCGAGGTGTCTGAGACCCTAATGGATGGTACAGACTTACCTAATATTGAAAGGAAGGCTCAGCTAATGCTGATTGTATAGTCTCATTTAATGATGATGGTACAGACTCATCTTATGATGATGGTACAAACTCATCTTATGATGATGGTACAAACTCACCTAACACGAAACACGTGGTGGTGGCCGTGAAGACAGCTGAGGCGGTGATGAGCAGGATGTAAGGCCCGTGGATCGATCGCTCCGTGATGGTGTTTACCACTATCGCGAACATTGACACCACTGTCGACGCCACTATTGCTTGTACCTGGACAGCAACAATATAAATGAAATGTTACAACGGTGTGAAAATAATTTACGGGTACAAACTTACGTAAATAAGGTCTTAATTTTTAGGTCTGCGCAGACGCAGGACTTTTGACGCCGAGGACTTGTCACGAACTCAACGCACACGGTGTGCGAACAGTGTTTTGTTCATATCACTGTAATGCCATTTGTCATTCAATGTACAGAGACAAAACATGGATTAACTAATCCAAGCATTCTCTTCGTTCATCAATAAGAGAGTGTATGTCTATGGTTTCAATGTTCCGTAACAATATATTTATTAGCTTTGTTATTAGTAAAAAATGAATATAAGAATTGTGGTATTCCAAACCAGAAAGTATTCAAGATAATAATCCGACAACGTATTTTAAATATCAAATTACTAAGTTTTGTTTGAAGTGCATTTCAAATTCAGATAACATAATTTTGGAACGTTATTTATAATACGATTCAAATAAGAATAGGAAAGCCAATGACCTCTATCTGTCAAATGTCGCTTGAAAAGTATGGTTTGCAAAAAAAACTTGGAACCCTTCTTTAGCACTCCGCTAATTCAAGAATAAAAACCAAACATTTGTAAACAAACAATAACAAATACTGATAATTAATATCGGTTGATATTTTTTTTTTTCACTTATTGAGCTTTGGCAATGAATGGTTGATAACCTTAATCGTCAACCAAATATCACTTTAAGTTGCGTTCAGAAACTCGATTTCAAACTTTCATTTACATAAAGGATGCATGTTCGTTTGTGACCTAGTAATAGTGCATGATTATTCATAACTATGTACATAGGCGGTAATGCAGAGCAGAGCAGAGCAAGAAGCGCACGCTATGGAAGTAATTATTCTAGATTACGTTGTGTTGTAATTAACATGAAACTTTAGAAAAAGAGAAGACTTTTTTAAAATATAATACTGGGTCTATTTCTCGCGCGAGTTCGCTGAGTGTGCTGCCGTGCCTAGTCACAAAAGCTCTATTTTTTTCAGGGACTACCGCGTACTTTTGTCCAGACCGGTCTCTCGGTGTGCTCGGCTGTCCGGGGGACTTTTTATGGGATAGGTGCGTACTGGACTTGAACAAAAATTTGTATTTTTGAGTTAAGTATTTTGAAAACGTATCCATGAATCGAAAAATAGTCTTACTAACCCTTAAATCGTTTTAAAGGACCTATCCCACGATAACCCACACAGTGAGGTAGACGATGAAAACGTAGAACTACCTTAATTTTTTTTTAAAACTACTTATTCTACCACTTTGTCGGCGCGATTGATATACATACCATCACAAAATTACATTACACACTTTCTAGTGCCAACAGTCGGAAAGATAGACGGACAGAAAAGTCCGCGGGCAATAGTCCCTCGTCTCCTACAATTCTCCTGCGCTAAAATAGGTCTCCATATGGTTTGCCACAGAATTTATCGATAGTTAAAATATATAGGTACTTTCAACATAGCGCGATTTTGACCGCTCCGCTTGGCTCTATGTGACTGTCGCCGAAAGTACGTGATCGTCATTTATTTCCAAGTAAATTTCTTGAAACTAATTCCTTAGATTTATTAGTTCCATGTTTCAGACTCCAAAAATCAAGAGGTTCATTTCTGGGATGTAGTATTGCAATGTTTAACAAAGTTCCCCAAGATGAAAACATTTGAAAGAAGAAATAGCAATTATAGTTATAATTTTTATTATTTTTAAAGCATGTAACTTACTGATGTTTAAATCTAAAGAAAATATAACTAGAAAAAAGAGAATATAAAAGAGAATAATAAAAAGAGAAGAATTTCGACGCGGTCCGTGAGGGCCGCGGTAGCATAATTGGTCAGTGCATTCGCCCGGATTGCGAAGGGTGCGGGTTCGAGTCCCGTCTGCTGCCTGGTCCGCGTGGATTTTTTTTCTAGTTATATTTTCTTTAGATTTAAACATCAAGCAGTTACATGCTTTAAAAATAATAAAAATTATAAATAAATGACTTTTCATTTTATTTTCATTTCATTTCATTATAAGTCATGCTGTATATTGCTTTTTTAATAATAATAAAATGAAACACAATCGTATATTAACAGGATTTGTCTGAACAAATGAACTTCCACTTCATCGCTACTCAGTAGATAGGCTCTCACCTGTACTAGTGATATGTTCCCAACCACCATGGAGAGGACCTCCTTGGTGGACACCATGTTGCCCAGGTTGGCCTGGGTCGACAGCCGCGACGCCAGACACATGTCGAGGTTGCCTGTTGACAAATGAAGAAGAGGTTAATTGTCACAACCGATTTTTTTTTGAAAAGGAAAAATCAAGATTATTTTTTCGTTTTCATAAAGACAAATAAATATCCACTCGGGCTGGGCAGACAGGATCCACTCTGATGCCTGCACTGAGTGACATTTTTTTAAGTCAATTTTATTAAGATTCATGACATTAGAGTCTGTGCGGAAAGAGAATGGGATTTAGATTTGAGGGCACTGTAGTGCTTTTCTACCGTATTTGTAAGGTTTTACCCCTTTTAGACATGATTAAATACAAAAAACCGCAAGAAATCACAACAACAAATATCAATACAAAACTTTGTCGTTTTACACATTGCTGGGTTTGATTGCCCAATAAAAATCTTATTGTTAGTTCCGTTTTTCGCCACGCCCATTCTCTTTCCGCACAGGCTCTACCTAGCTGATTAAATACTTAAAATGGCAAATATAATCATCAATCAATCATGAAAAAAAAAACACTTTAACAGGAGGAAAAGAGAGTATAATAAGTCTTGGGATTGAAAATGCCCATCAGATCAAAAAAGTTACAGGAAATTGTCACTGGACACAAAACAAAATTCACACGTTCAACATAGACACTCTTTAATACTGACATAATAATTTGGTAACAATTGTGTATCTGTCTACTTATTCTACACTTTTGTGACTCATTATATTGTCACCTTGGCAATGAAAAAAATTAATGCGCTGTATTTCTTTCCATGTTATTAACCCATTTTATATTAAAAAAAAACAACGGAAGTAGGTATATTTTTGTTACTTTCGACACATCACATAACATCAGGTTACAATCAGTACTAATGCCGAGCCGCCGTAAACATCGAATAAATAATTTTTACGTTACTTAAAGGCGGGAGTGCAAAGTTACGGCGGCAATTCTTTTAACTTATTTGTGCCAGAAGGGTGCATGCATAATGTAGCATCGATTTAGATCTAAAAAGCCAATGATATGATGGATTTCAAAATGCTTTAGTTTGGCTTGATTCCAAGCTTTGAGAATTTTTAAGAACAGAAGTTTTAATGGAATTAGCAAAGCATCTATAGTACAATATCATAAGACAAATGAGCATGAGAAATTATAGTTACGTTTATTTTTTAGGCATTTTTCAAATGTTAATTATGTTACTCTGTGATCATGGCGCTTGCAAATGCAGCAGTGCTGAAATATCGGGGACTCACAAAAAACATGGTACATCGTAGTAAACCCGCTATTAGCTATGTATACTAAGAAATTAGGCTAAAAGTCGCTAAGCTAGTAACTTGTTCCCCTAAACAAACTTTGCAATAAAACCTTTATCTAATGAAATTACTATGAAACTATGACATGTTCCAAAAAAAAATTTAATAAAAATGAGCGTTAAAAAAATGATTCGAATCGCTTTCAATGTAAACTGCGCCTTATGAATTTAACTGTTACGGTTCAATTTCACAACACCGTTGTTGTTATCTCGGAATACCACATTCACAGGGGATTCACCCATACAATAAGTAACACCTATCAGTTTGAACTGCTACCAAGAAGCGTTGTTATATAAAGATCTCCATTGTCTGTAATATATTCATAAATGTGGGCTGAGACAATGACATTTATACAAAATTGCTCAACAAAACAATAGTAATGTTAAGAGAATGTTTAACTTGATACGTGTTTTTATTTATTTTGGTTGGTTGCCCGCCGCAGACGAATTATTCGTAATATCATCTACTCATACTGTAGGGGCTTTACCGATGGTTACGTTACAATGAGTGTAATAAATAGTTGCCAATTGTTATTGAAGTGAAACTTCTTTAGGCACGCTTGACTTGGGGGGTAAGCTGGTGAATGCGTTACGCGTTACGAAAAGTGTGTTCGGGCGAGGCGAACGGGAGTTGAGTGCAAAAAAAAGTCAAACCCATAACTTTAACACGAGATTTAAGAACAAGCTTGCCATTCTATGTTTCAGACTCCAAAAATCAAGAGGTTCATTTCTGGGATGTAGTATTGCATTGTTTAACAAACCAAAGCTTCCACTAACCAAATTTAAATCTCAGATCAAGAATACTCTTATGAAATAAGGGCTATTATAAAGTTAATGATTATCTAAATGATCGTAATGCATGTACATAGCGTTTCTTGTAATTTGTTATTTTATGGGTATTAGTCAGTTTTTGTAACAGTAATATGGTACTTATCTAATGCCGCTTCCTATTTACTAAATATAAAATTTATTGTAACTATATATCTATATCCTAAATGATGTAATGGAAGGTATCTTCAGAAGTATCTCTGAAGTCATTTTTCAACTTGACAGCTCTGTATATATCAATACAGGGAGAAAAAAGCAGCCCTTACTGAGTTTCTTGCCGGTTCTTCTCAGTACAAGTGCTTGTAACAGCCTAGACTGAATAAATGACTTTTCATTTCATTTTATTTCGGATATAAGCAAGAGAAAGCAGTGCGCACGCATTTTCTTTTCTCTCTTTCTGTTATAGCTAGTAAATGAAATAGTATATGTACATACATACATGTATTATTGTACATCAATCATTCAATCAGGCACCGTTACGGTGTACGGTGTTCGCGGGGTACTAAAGTCCCTGAATCGTGAAGAAAATTTCCGCCGTGGACTTGATACGGACTCAACGCACACGATGTGCAAACATTTGTACCCTGAAAATTTAGAACAGCGCACGCGCATGGAAGTTAATATTTTTAGATTACGTTGTGTTGTAATTAACATGAAGTAGAAGAAAAATATATTTTTTTGAGAATCCTACGGAAACCTTACGTTTTTGCGGGATAAATAGTATCCTATGTCTCAATCCAGGTCTCCTAAAAAAAACTTGTGTATGTAGTGAATTGGGCTATTGTATTTTAAACCTCTGTAGCTTATTTTAACGGAACCAAAAGGAATCTTATGGAATGTAATATTCAAAATTTTAAAATCTTTGACGAACTGCCGAAAATTTGGAGTGCTTGCTTTGTTTGAAGTACTTATCCATATCGATAACCTGTAGATATGTTGTGAATTAATTTTCTTTTCATAGAAAACATCGCTCGTTCTAAGACCAGGAGAATGGTTATAATATATGTCTATACATTACAGAATATCATCTTTTTAAACCTGGGTGTACCAGAAAAGCTGTTATAACATGTGCATTAAGGTAAACAATAGAATTCCAAATCAATTCAAACACGGACCTATAACATTAATGGCAAAAGAGTTACTGGTTAATAAGTAAATGTTTTTATAGTACAAATGAATTTTTATTATGAATTAATAATTGTAATTTTGTTGACATAATGAAGAAATGGCTATTGACTTAAAAAAAAATACAGGTATTGAATAATTATTATGTGTAATATAATGTATAGTTATTATATTTATTAATTATTGTTATTGTGTTGACATAATGAAGAAATGGCTATTGAATTAGAAAAATTGACATGATACAATTCTTAGAATGCAACTATTACTCAATTTAAATTTGAATTTTTAAATAATTTATTAGTATTTTGTATGCTCTTCTAAGGGCGAAACATATGGAGCTTTTTTTTATTATTTACCAGCTATAACAAACTATGTTTCATGCAAATAAACTTTCATTTCATTTCCTTTAAGGCGATAGAAGCATCGCCAGGAAATAAAAGACTTGAGAGAATCCTAGAAATTCGGAAATTCTATTAGGACTGCTGTTAAGATTATAACTAAAGTATTTTGAAACATAAGTATTTCTGGTGGCAAATTTAAAAACAAGCGAACAAAAGTATACGCCTACGGACGTAAATGTAATATGAAGAGAAAACGGTATAATTACATAAATTTAAATTTTACAAGAGCTGTATAAAACTGAATGACATACCTACAGTGAGCTTTTGGCGTGGTTTTTAATTTATAAATTTAGTAATTTCAACACTGTTTTAAAATTATTTGAGATTCAAATTAAACGGTCCCGAAACCTCCGGACTATAAAAAAGGACCTTTGACCAGGGGGCCATTCGCCTACCGGAAATGCTTTGGAAAACGCTAACGTTTACGATTTCATTTTGTTATTTCTAGCCGCCTGAGGTTTTTAAATGCCTCGCGCTCTTTTCATTTTCTTTTGTATTGGTAATAACAATATTAAAAAAAATAGCGTGAGGTTTGAAAACCTTCGGCGGTCAGAAATAACAAAATAAAATCGGAAGCGTTAGCGTTTTCCTAAGCATTCCCGTTAGGCGAATGGCCCCCAGATCCGTAATTATACCGTTTTGTTCGCCAGCTTCTCTTTAAAAAGTATGGATAAGCAAATTTGTTTCAAAATAACCGCTAATGATATACAATAATGTGACCAAAATCACTTTGAGAACGGATGTTTAAAAACGACTTGCTGTATCTTTTTTTGCCAAGTTATTATCGTTCTTTGTTTTAAGTTGCGCGACGAAGCTTTGGCACTAAAATACGCTAAAATTTGCGTTTGAATTTGGAATTTAGTTCCATCGTAATAAATTATTGGCAGCGTTTTCTATCTAAAGACGCTAGAGGATAGCTTGACTGATATTTGACACGCATTGAAGAGGTTGTGGGAGACGATACATTTGTGTGTTCAGCTGAAGGAACATACTATAAATGGGACTTATTCAAATTTGAATGCTAATTTTAGGGCTTTTAAGCACCAAAGCGGTTAATTTCCGGTGGCGTTCTCCTTGGCGTACAACCAGAGCTTGAGTGGAGGTTGTCGCGACGGATTCGGTCCTAGGGAGGCACCCGTCGGACTGATACCGGGAGGACTGCATCCCCGTTCCAGAGGGAGACCCGTAGAAACAGCTGTCCCGCTGGCCGCCCGTTGCACAGTACAGGGGTTCGAGCATTCCTAACCAGTTCGTGAGGCTGCCCCATCATGTCAAGCATAATCTCGTCATGGGGTCCCGGCGGTCACTCCCGGGGTGTGCGGGGGCCCGTCATTAGGGAAAACAAACCTACCTAATTTGCCCAGACTCTTCGCG